CACTACACACACACACACACACACACACACACACACACACACACACACACACACACACACACACACACACACACACAGGCTAACACACACCAACTGATCTCATTTGTTGTTGTGGTAAGAGAGGAAAAGTAGCTGGGTTGCCAGCCATGGCCCCTGTGCTGTAACTGACTGTGCGGGAGCAGACTGCTGCATCCAGGCAGAAGTCAAGGGGACCCTGCAGACAGATCCACCCCTAGACAAGTGGGGCAGCATCTGGTCCTTTGAAATTTAAACAATAGAAAGATTACAAGTAATAAAAATATGAATCAACTCACCTGCCTTTTAAACATGGATCATACATATGGTGAGATCATTCTGACCTGTGATTTTCTCTTTCTGTTTTCTTAGTTTACCTACTGATGTATGTATTTGGCTACCTAGCCTGTCTATCTGCATCTGGAATCAGCATCTCCGGACATCCAATGTGTCTATGTGTAACCATTCTGCCAGGCCGAGTTGATAGCAGCAAGGGCCGGGTTCAGTACATAGGGGTCCCCTCCCAACAACGTAACGCAAAACCAGCTCAAGCCTCCACCCAGTGACCTGGGAAAATCTTACACACACCCCTGGGCGCCTCAAAGACAAAAGCCAGCTTCCTCTTACCATGTCATCCCAAAGTTGTGGCCTTGGTGCAACTGTTTCATGGGGGTCATAGAAGTCCTATTTCAAGGGCTTAATTGGCCATGTGCTGACTCTGCTCATGGGTGAATGTCACTTTGCATGAACACAGACATGTTACAACTTACCACGGGGATTCCTTTAGATCAAGGGTGATTTGTGGTGCTCTAAAGAAAGGCAGATCATCCCTCTACATTAGGGCTGGGAGACACTGACTAGGATAAAGAGATGGGGAAGAATGCGATGCTTAGATTCATAGATTCTGATGCCAGGAAGGACCATTGTGCTAATCTAGTCAGGCCCCCTGTATAGCAAAGGCCAGAGAACTTCTCCAAAATAATTTCTAGAACATATCTAGGATGCTGCCCACACTATATATATGTCCTGTGGATGAATATAAGGTTCAAGTCAAGCACGTGTGTTTTATCTGACCAGCCTGATCCAGCACATCCAAAACACAAAGGTTATAATTTTCAAGGCTACCAGAGGGTATGATTTCCAGCAGTGCCTAAGGCAGTTAGCTACCCACCTCCCATTTAATTTCAGTGCGAGTTGGGCACCGGATTCCCTTAAGCTCCTTTGTGAATCCCAGGTGGAGTCTAACTCCCTTAGGCTCTGTCTGGCTGTGAGAAAGGATCAGGCCAAATTCTCCCATCACTTTCACTGAGGCAAATCCCGAATTGCTGCATTGAAGTTGTTGGAGAGAGATCAGTGCAAAAAACTGGCGTGAGTGAACTATCCAGTCAGTCGTTTGTCCTTCTGTTAACCACACTAGTCAGGGGCTGAGTCCTGCACACCCTGAGATGGGCCTAACCCTGAAAATCCTTACTCATGTGAGTAGGTCTGCTGACACCAGTGGTTTCATTGGTAACAATGAGATCACTGGGGTAAGAAGTACTTTCCTCAGTAAAAGCTGGCAGGGTCAGCCCACTGAATAGTTCTTAGTCAGGAACTGCTGATTGTGCCAGGTATTCAGCTGCTATAGACTGACATAGCTCTGTTGGTTTACACCAGCTGGGCATTTTATCCCTTTGACCTTAGTGGATGTGGACCCACTGTCTGCACTGGAACTATGTAGATTCACACCAGCTGGGGAACTGGCCCCATTGGGAGGTATGGCCAATTTGCACCCGCTGGGGATTTGGCCCATTGAGGTAAGGGGAGCTATTCCTGATTTAGACTAGAGAAAATGAGAGGGAGGGGGATCAGGCCCATAGACACAGACATCTCTAGTTTTTGAAATAAGAATGCCTAGCAAGGTTCACGTGGGATTCTCAAATAGGTTAAGTGCCAGATGGGGAAGGTGAAGCACAGAATCCCAACCCACTGCAAGTACCTGGCAGTGCTGTGAAAAGAACCAAAGGACTGAAAAATTTCTTATCTTGTTCACTATGGAGTCCAGCTCATAGGTGCCGACTCAGTGGGTGCTCCAGGGCTGGAGCCCCAATGGAGAAAAATTAGTGGGTGTTCAGCACCCACCGTAAGCCAAGCTACTCCCCACCCCCGTTCCCCCAGCACCTCTCGTCCACCCGTCGCCCCACGGATCTACTCCTCCCCCTCCCTCCCAGCGCCTCCCGCCCACCGCAAACAGCTGTTTCACGATGTGCCTGGGGCCCCGGGAGGGAGGGGGAGGAGCGGGGATGGGGCGAATGCAGGGGAGGGGGAGGTAAGAGAAGGGGAAGAGGTGGGGTGGGGGCAGAGCAGGGGCGGAAAGAGGAGGGGCAGGGGCATGGGCCTGGGGGAAGGGGTGGAGTGGGGATAGGGCCTGGGGCAGTGAGGGGGTTGAGCACCCCCCGGCTAGCAGGGAAATCTGTGCCTATGGTCCAGCTGCTAAATGCAGTGGTGTTCCCCTGGGATTAGATCAGTGGTTTGTTTTGTTTGTGAAAAGGAAAAAGGGAAGAGAAAAAATAAATGAGAAAAGAAAAGAATATTTTGACTCTTTTATTGTTATATTGTGAAAACTTGACATAATAAGGCATGCCATAGAGTGCACACTACTGACATGTCATGACATAATGTTAAACTAATAATGGAATAATAAAGTAAATTGTAAAACAAACATTACATTTTGAAGTGGAGTTTTGATTCCCCACCTCCACAACAAATGGTTTGAAATGGGTTTGTTTTGCAATTTCCATTTCAAAAGACATTTGGAAAATACTTGTTTCCGCTATGATTTGGAATGAAAAAAATGTCAAAATATCAACATTTCCCACTTGATTTCCCCTCACTGCTTGCCTAAATCAATTATATCCAGGGCATTGGACTAGGGTGACCAGATCTCCCCATTTTATAGGGACAGTCCTGATTTTTGGGTCTTTTTCTTATATAGGCTCCTATTACCCTCCACCCCATCCCGATTTTTCACACTTGCTGTCTAGTCACCCTATGTCCTACTGAATGCCTTTCTCAATATTTCTTTAATGTCTTTGTTCCTTAGCGTGTAAATGAAAGGATTAAGTAATGGTGTCATGATAGTGTTCAAGAGGGTGACAACTTTGTTCATTTCCAGTGAGTTCTGTTTGGATGGCTTGACATACAGAAAGATGGAGCAGCCATACCATATAACCACGACGGTGAGATGGGCAGAGCAAGTGGAAAAGGCCTTTTGCCAGGCTTGGGCAGATGGGATTCTCAGGACGGTGGAGATGATGTAAATGTAGGAAACCAGGATGACAGCACAGGACCCAAGGACGACAATAAAGCAGATAGTAATATACACCATCTCAATGAGGCGTGTGTCTGTGCAGGACAGCTCTATCCAAGAATCTACATCACAGAAGAAATGGTTGATGATGGTAGAGTCACAGAAGGACAACCTGGTGATCAGAAACGCCAGCACAGAAATAGTCAGGAAGCTACTTGCCCATGATCCAAGAGCCAGCTGAATGGACAACGTGCTGTTCATGATGGAGCTATAGCGCAATGGGTGGCATATGGCCAGATAGCGATCATAGGCCATGACGACCAGAAGTAGATATTCGGTGCAGCCGAGGGAGAAGACAAAGTACATCTGCAGGATGCAACTGGGGAAGGAAATGGTTTTGCTTTTGGACACTAGGAGAGCAAGAGTTTTGGGAATGTAGCCCGTGGT